TACATCACCAATTTCAAGTTGAAGTAATATTGAAATGGGGAAACTTTCCAACTGAAATTTATTTCAAGTCGGAAAAATGAATTCACAGAGGTAGTTTGAACCAGTGTTGTCATCACTGGACAAAGGACAATGGACAAAAAATGTTGTCCATTGTCTATTGATCAAGCAATGGATCCATTGAGTTTACTTATATTTATTAATATACAATTAATAAAAAAAAAATAACATATTATTATTTTATTATTTCAAATTTTATCAAAAAAAAAATTATATATTATACTATTCTTTAAAATGAAATATCTAAATTAGAAACAAACAAACCTTCTACTTCCAATATATTGTGTAACTTGAGTTAATTTTTTAGTTCGCGAAACAGATTTTTCATTTAGAATTTCGGGATCATCAATTTCTATAAATAAAATTAATTTAAAATTACCAATAAATTTCCGTTTCGTAGTTGTTATTGTAATATGAAATTTTGATAATGCTAAAATTCTATTAACTTCGTTAAGTTCATATTCAGTCAAAAAATTTTGACAAGTTTGAAGATGTTAATAGCAATAACGTTGTAAATTTATTATTTTTATCTTTTAATAAGGAAATCTTATCCTATATATCTAATATAAGATACACAAAGAGCCTTCTTATTATTTTTATTTGCTTTTTCATTGTGAAGTACTTCAAATCATGAAGTTAATGGATGTGAATGTGTCATTATATTTAGAAAGAGTTTTTGTTAAAAATCATGCGATTTGGATCCCTTTTATATTTAACTCTTTCCATTTAAGTTTAATCGTGGGTTTGTATTTCATCATCACAATAGACACAATGGACACAATGGACAACGCAATGGACGCAATGGAAAAGTGTCCATTGTCCATTGTTATATGTCCATTGCCAACACAGGTTGGAAAAGGCCTAAAAAAAACTATAACCGGTTAATAACCGGTTATATTATTCGTTAACCGGTTCCAACCTCTACAAGTGAAAAATTCATCAAAATTATTCGGTCTCCAATGAATAGGGAATTGCTGCTGATGATCATATATCATCGTAGAATCCGCTGCTTTTTAAGTTCAAACGTAGAACGAAACGTAAATTTATTATAAAATTCCACAACAGTAATAAATTATCACCTGTTACACAAATACTTTATAGAATTGTCATTTTTATTTATTAATAACATAATATCTAATAATATACAACTATCCCAGTTTAATATCAATTTATATTGACAACCTAGACGTTTCTTTAATTAAGACCTCGCGTATTCGAATCAAGTCGATATCAACAAATAGTCGTGTTTTCACATAGGATACTTTTATGAATATATGTACCTTTATTTAAAAATGCTTATATTTAGTGTCATCGTCTCAACCCATCAACAAAGACTTCATCTTGATTATTACTACAAAAGAAATAAAGATATGTTGTCAGTAAATCCACTAGAACATTTTCCATTCTTCATTTCCAAAATAATTTTCTCGCGACGAAATTTAATGTATTCTTTATGCTGTTGTTTAACGATTTCATAATAATTATTGTAGGAAAATATGAAAGTAACCTATAAAGAATTCGACCGTTTTGAAAAAATTATTCAACCTACCTAAGAAGTACCTTCACTTTCATTCACATAAACTTGAAAACGTATTTTCGTTCTTTTCGATTGTACCATCATTTTTTAACAAAGTATAATATAGGGAATAAGAATGTTTTACCAAATGATGAGGTAATAAGGTAAACCTGTGTGTATCCAACTAGTAAATTCCAATATGAAACTCTCATCATATATCAATTTCCAATAAATTTTCATTTCCTTAACAACACTTGTGCCACATGCACTTGAATTTTCAAAAATCTTGTATTCGTGAGCAAGGGCACCGATAACATTCTATTTCTTCTCCAACTATTTTCTTTTAACGTGTCATAATTTTTTCACGAAAACAAGTTTATATAAATTTTCCTTTATCTCTTGTTGGTGAATGAGATTGATTTCTTGTAATATCGTAGGATAGAACCACAATGTTTTAAGATAAATTGAATTATATATTTATAACAAGGGAGGAAAAATTTTAAGTAGCTTCTAGACGAACTTTTTTGCTAACTTTCTTGTCTTGTTCATATAATGTGACGTTTTTATGCTTTTTACTTTTACATGCGTTAATTGTTGATCAACACATGACTGACGACATATTATTCCTTCGAAATAGTTTAAATCCAAAAAATAAACTTTTTTTTGACTATATAAACGTAAAAAAAAAAAAAAAAAAATTCAACATTCAATATTTTCAAAACCAACGGAATCCATAAACATACAATATGTCCACAGTTGTCATTTCTGGTATACCTATCTCACTTTATTGTTTTGTTCGAGAAATGGGAAAACCTTTCAAAGTTATTATTGGAAGGAATAATAATGTTTCCGATCTCAAGGAGTTCATCAAGAATGCAAATTCGAATAACTTTGCAACAATCGATGCTTATAAAATCAACCTATGGAAACTTAAAAACCCTATACCTGGCGAAAACTTCGAGGAGCTACAAAAAATTACGCTCGAAAATAACGACAATTTAACTTTAATGGTTGAAACACAAATAATTGCATACTACTATATCACACCGCAAGCAAATCTAATCCATGTTATTGTAGAAATACCCGTTAATACTGGTGAGTTAGTCATATTTAATTTGATCAACGCGCAAATGACTTTACTTTTGATAGCCATATTTTGTCTTGTTTCTTACTCTCGCAATTCTATTCCAGTAGATTTAGGTCAAGCCGCCAAAAGACAAATTTTAGGAAGTAAGTTGTGATTAAAGTTTGCTGTTGAGATTTTCAACGGACCAGAATATTTGCTGTAGAACAGTAATGTCTTACCCGGTTTTGGTAAAATACCTGGGTATTATAATCATTTTCTATGGTGCTTGTAATCTACTAGCTAACGATTTTTTAATTTACTCAGGATTAGATATTAAAAATATATTAGATATTGTCATCGGATACCGGAACCTTGGCAGACTTCCTGAATTTTTACGAGATAATATTGAGGATCAAGAAATGGAATTAGAAGAACAGAAAGAACGAGAAAGTTCGGGGGAAGAGCTAGAAGAAATGCAGGAAGAAGAATTAGAAGAAGTGTTGGAAGAAGAGCTGGAAGAAGGTCTGAAAGAAGTGCTTGAAGAAGAGTCTTCTAATTTGATCATACACCCTGAAAAAAAACGGCTTGCGGTGATCAAAGGACATAAACTCTATGCAAGGAAAGCTTACAAAGATCTTTATCACATAGTTAACAGCGAGGATTGTGATCCCAGATTCCTTATAACTGGCACTTCAGGTGTCGGTAAATCGAGCTTCCTGATTTATTTATTAATCCGGCTGTTGTGCAATAATCCTGATATCACAGTTATTTTTAAGCCAGATGAAGTAGATGAAGCGAGCAATTTATTATACTGTTTTGAGGGTACCAAACTCCATGTCGGAACATTTAGAGACTTTTCGGATCAACTATATAACAATTCCAAAATTTGGTACTTGGTGGATAGCACACCTCCACTCGGCATCCAAGCAAGAACGGTGGTTTCTGCATCAGCAAGAAGTATTAAAAGCAGAGAGTTTAAAAATTTCATCAAGGATCTTGTTAACATCTTTTGCATGCCGCCATGGTCAATAGAAGAGTTGGAAATTTGCCAAAAAGAAATCTTCCCGATGGTACCACCAGATTTGATGTACGACCTCATTGATGAAACGGGAGGTATACCAAGATACGTTCTTGCACTACCAGCATCCATTATTCAAAAATTGAAAAAAAGTGAGAATTCACAGTCTCTTAAAAATCGAGATTATATTGAGATTAAGAAAATGTCTTTAAAACATGTTGAAGACTCCCTCTCTGAAGTCAGCGATATCTCAAGGCTTGTTCAGTGCTTTTCTCAAAATGCTCGATATGTTGAATACAGCAGTCGGCTTATTCATCGGTGGCCTGACACTTTCTACAGAGAACATCGTCTCTCATGGGCTTCTAATCGAATTTTTGATAGAATCGTGGCAAAACTGGAAGATGAAAGATGGAAAAATCTATTTTTGAAAATACAAGATCCTAATGATCTTTCCAGCTCTAGGGGAATTATGTTCGAGTCACATGTCCTTCACCTATTCAAAGTTGGTGGCATGAAATTCGAAGCAAAAAGTTTACAAAAAAATAAGGTAAAGTTTTGTATGGACATTTTAACTAGTATTGTAGTTAAAAAAATTTTAAAACTAAAATTTTCATTATTAGGGTGATCAGATCTTTTACGACGAATTGAATTTAATTAATAACCCAAAAATAAAGTACATCCGACAAGTTATCCATCTCCAAAATTGCGATGAGGATAGCATTATCAAGCCGACCATAAAAAATTTTGGTGCGGCTGATCTATTTGCTGCGCCAGACAGGATCTTTCAAATTACCGTGTCACAAAACCATCCCATTAAACATAGCGAACTGGTCAAAATAATTCAAAATATGCCAGCGTTCAAAAAAAATCCTAATGCAAGAATTTATTTTTATTTCATTGTACCAGACGATATATATGATACTTTCAGACACCAAAGATATATAACACCAAAGAAAAAAATTGGAAAAGATCTCGAGGCCTTTAAAGAAATTAAACGCAAATCAGCCATCCTCAATAATGTAGAACAATGGGCATTAAAAATAAAAATGACGCCTGAAATGAATGTAACTACTGTGATTAACAACATGGTAACGGCGGTAAAAAAATCTTATATTTAAGATTCAACCATTTTAATTTTTTTTTTTTTTTGCTATTGAAAAAAATACTGTCGTGATTTTACTTTATTTTTGTTTTATTTTCCTTAAAATTAATATTAATTCAAAAGGGAGGTTTAGATAGGAGTAGAGTATATGGATTTATATTATTGGCATACTGTATTTGCTAATATTATAAAGAACTAGCTTGACTGCACGAGAAAATTTCATCTTTTTGATTTTTTTTAACTATAGAGTATGTTTATAATAGAATTTGGTTGCGAGAAATCGGAAATAAAAAATAAAAAATTATTCTTTTTTTTATTGAATACAAATTCGATGCTTGAAGAAAAAATTATTTATTTTGAATCAGCTGAATTTTTTGCAATTCTGACTAACTATATCGCTATAGAACGGCAATAAATTAATTTATTAGTAAGTAAAATACTCGCCCACGTGATCTAGTAAACGCAGCATAAATTCAAATTTTGAAGCCCGGACTTTAAGCCAAGTATTAAAACCAACCCGGACTGTTAATTTATGCTATTTGGCGATGCATACAATAATATTTTTTATTTTACTAAAAATTAGTAATATATTACCGCAAAGCATAACTAATATGGTTTACTTGATAAAATTATTATGTAATAATTTTAACGTGTTATTAATTAAAACGTTATGTTATTACATTTACAGCAAATATCTAACAATCTTGAAATTGAGAAAGCAATATCATATTATCAAAAATCACGTGATCAAAATACAGAAAAAAGCAACAAAAAATTGGCTTGAACACTTTGAAAATTTTGAAAAATATGGTTGTTTCTTATCCACAAGAAGAACAATATAAAATTCAATTGCATCTTATTTCAGATATATCTACCGAGGGGGGACAAAAATATTGCACGGTTTTATTTTAGCAATAAAATTTTTTTTAATTAGGATAGCAGTCAGTTTTTTTTTATATTCACAAATAATACATCAATATTTAGTATGTCCTCTAGCATCGATCACCGCTGAATTCTATTTAGCATTGATCGCACCAAGTCACGATACACTTTTTGTGGTATCGCTTCCCAAACCTCTTTTACCACCTTTTCAAGTTCA